AACCAAATAGTATCATAAATCAAAGAATTTGTTTGTAGTTGGGAAATTGTAGACATCCGGTGTGATATGACTGATAAATCTACATTTCTGAAAGCGAAAACGTGTTTGTGGTGGATCTGACTGAGAAGAGGTGGTGTTTTATGTATACTACATTCATATGTTTTTCCAGTATTAACTTTATCATGTTTGCTTTTGAGTTATATACAAAGATAAACTAATGAAGAGTCACTTACTATCTCCCTCTCATTCCCTCCTTTCAGCCAAGTCATTTGTTCAGCATTTGTTCAAATACCCTGAAGGTAAAGAGCCTGAAAGGAGGATGCTCTCAAAATCCAAAAAGAAAAAAAAAAGAAATCAAAGAAAACAGTGAAGGTTTTTATTAAAAAAGATTTGAAAACTTTTATTTTGTTGTCTGACAACAGGTTTTCAACCTGTGACCACCATCATTTTTTCTAATATGTAATCTATCTTTTTGCTGGGATGATGAACAAAACAAAGACTGACAAGAGACCCATAAGAGGGAAAGCACTACCATTAAATGTTGAACCAAGCTGGTCATCTGAGAAGCTCTTGGGTGCTGCCATTAAAAAACTGAAAGACTCAACCATGAAATCAACCATGATATGGATATGGGAGATGGAGAATACATCCTGCTCTATCCTGCTCTAAAAGAAAAATCCAGGATCACCCTATACTGTATGACTGAACTCTACATAGAGGCCATTGGAAAGACTTACCAAAGAATTACACTATTTGTTTGTGTCCTAGAGGATTTCTTGTCATAAAGGGAGTATTAAATAGACTTGACATTGGGCTTTGTTTTTTGTTTTTATTGTTAAAGATTTTTGTGATTAGTACCTTGAAGATTTAACCAAAGTTTGCTTTCACCAAGTGTGCTGAACAATATACAGTTACACTTAACTTTAAAGCATGAGGCAACTGTGTTGAATATGTGCAAGATGCTTACATAAATTCAAGAGAGAGCCAATCCTCTGTAAGTGATTATTCTCCTGGAAGAAGTCCCTTGTCCTGTGGGCATTGTGTGCTGTAGCGCTGTCCTGTTGATAAACCCATAAACCCAGTTGTTACCATACAGAGGTGGGCCCTCAGTCATGAGGGACGCTCTCTGCAACATGTGGATATAGCCAGTAGCTGTTTGACACAGCTGCACCTCCTGAAGCTCCATTGTTCCACTGAAGGAAAAAGCACCCCAGACCATCATCATCAAAACATATCAGGCGGGATCTGCTTGTCTTGCCAGTAACGTTGGAAACCATCAGGACCATTAAGGTTACATTTTTTCTCTTCTTCCACCTTTCAATTTCCCGTGCTTGGTGTTCTTTTGCAAAGTCCAAATGGTCAGTTATGTGGAGTTCAAGGAGACGAAAGATTGAAGATGTTTTTGTTTTAGAACACCTTCAGTCTTAGATGCCGTCTGATGGGCATGGGACTTCAGTCAGCACCACCGAAATGCTACAGAGGATCAAGGACAAAGGAGGATCTGCCTAACTTCTTAGCAACTAAGCTACAATTGATCTCAGGATGTTTAAAACATACCCTCTTAGATGAGCCCTGGCTAGATGCAGAACAGGCACTATGTAATAAGCATCAACATCAGCTCTTCTCTGACAGCATGGTGGGAGTTCCTAAAAAGGTCTTCATTAATCCCATGCAAATGTACACCTATCTGGAACAACCCTGACATACTACAGAACAATGATATGATTAACTTCCCAGATTGGCGTCGAAAAGGAATTAAATACTTTGAATATACATTAGAAAGAACAGACTTTATTCCGCTTGACAGACTAGTTATACAGCAAAGCCTCTGGTCTCAGAAATGCTCAAAAACCTTTAAATTGATTAGATATCCCAGCCTACAATTAATACACTACAAAATACTACATAGAGTGCACTATACAGATCAATGGATGTTCAAGATGGGTGATGTTCGTCTTCTAACAACTGCTCACACTTTGGTTCTGTCTGGCGCGACATCCGCTGGTTTCCTCTTTCTGGTGCAAAGTGTGCGATAAACAAACAAGAGAGAAAAACCGATCAGCTGATCATTGATCAGTTTTATGATTGAAGTAGAAACGGGAGATGGAGGGGGAGAGAATGAGAGAAGAAGAGGCAGCTGTGCAGCGTAACGAAACAGAATAACTCCAGCTTTGTGTCTTTTTCCATCCTAGCTAAAGTATGGGACAAACTGTGCTCCTTTTCAGCTCAATACGAAAGGCGTAATATTTTCTCTGACTACATCTCTGAATTCCGTTTTTTACGGGGCGGTTGGCAACTCTACTAACTAACCTTATGAATAAAATAAAGTTCACTATCAGTAACATCATAGCACCCATCCAGCTGTATAGAAACTCTGTCATGCTAGCTAGTACGCAGTACGAGTTATTGTAACTGACTGTAAAAAGTCAGCATAACGAAAATAAACTACACCTTGGTTTATATCTGACCCAGAGAGACTGCAGGTCATAACTTCTTACCTGAAGTTCAGTTCACCTGACACTCGGACCTGCGGCCGCCTCGGTAAAAATACTTTATTTATTTTGGAATTTTCTGTGAGTGTAGTAATGTTATTTATATATATATTCAGTTACATGGATGCATAAGTAAAATATAAAGTTAACTAACTAGCACTACACATGTTTTCTGCATGTTACGCTGATTCGTTGATAGCAGCTAAGCTAACATTAGTCAAAAGTTAGCTAACTAACTTATCTTACTGTATTTGAAGATACACATTTCACGTTGTCAATGAAAACGTTCATTTGTATTTCTTTTTTTTAACACTAATGTTTCATTTAACGTTAGCTAACTATAGTAATATTATGTTTAGACTCATGGTAATGGCCGTATTTAACCAAAGAGAGCTGCAGCCTGCATTGATGAGATATCAAGGTACCATTAACGTAAGTTAGTTAGTCCTGCTTCACAGATATGCACACAACCCTGTCGCCAGACCTGAAAAGACAAGGATGCGGCAAACATGCAGTCACATTGTCTGCTAAACCTAGCCTAGCTAAATAGATTTAAAGCAATAGCTAGTGTGGACAGGCTAGCTCAATGTTAGAAAGTTTTTATGGATTACGTTATACACAGTTCACATAAAGTTATCATAAACAGCCTCTTCTTCTTCCACATGTTATGTTTCATATTAGTAAAGGTTTTTTCCGTAGGTGGCCAAGATGTTGATAAAAGTAAAACACAGAAAGACAAAGAAATATGTCAAATTGGAAGAAGTCAGCTTCACAGATTTTGTGAGAGCAGGTAAGTTATGGTTTGTACTAAGTCATTAAAGAGGAAATGATAATGTTGTTATTAACTAAGTGATGATTTTACTTCAGTGCAGCAGAAGTTTCTCATACCAGAAAATGCAGCACTGAAAGTCACAGATGAGCAGGGTATAGAGGTGGATGAGGATGTCTTTCCTGAACTTGCAGGAGTCAAAGAGGTGTGTTTTGTCATCTATACAGCTGAAGGTAAGTAAATATATGCTCTGATAGATTTTGTGGGATTTGATTTCTACAGTTACTCTTAAATAAACCTTTTTTAATTTGTCTAATATCCTGTGGTAACAATCACAAAATGCTG